GGATTACAGGCACATGCCACCAGACCCAACTGATTTTTGTGGGGTTTTTTATGTTTTTTGTTTTGTTTTGTTTTGTTTGTTTTGAGAAGGAGTCTCGTTCTGTTGTCCAGGCCGGAGTGCAGTGGCGCCATATTGGCTCACCACATCCTCCGCCTCCTGGGTTCAAGCGATTCTCCTGCGTCAGCCTCCCAATTAGCTGGGACAACAGGCACACACCACCATACCTGGCTAATTTTTGTCATTTTCAGTAGAGGCAGGGGTTTTGCCATGTTTGCCAGACTGGTCTCGAACTCCTGACCTTGTGATCCGCCCACCTCAGCCTCCCAAAGTGCTGGGATTGCAGGCGTGAACCACCACACCTGACCCAAGCCCCTATTCCTTTCTGAAGGAATGTTTCCTGTCCCTTGTAGGATGTTATATGAGCTTTACTCATCTGATCCTTTGTCCAGTCTCATATTTTGTGGGATTCCCATGCATAGGTCGTAGTTACACATGGTTTTTCTCTTGTTAATCTCTCTTATGTAAATTTAATGTGTAGCCCAGCCAAGGAATTTAGAGGGTAGAAGGAGGCCACTCCCTCCTCCCCTACAGCAGGCATGAGTGAGAGGCTGGGGGAGACAGCCCAGGGCCTAAGTCCCTCCTTGCTCAGCCCTGGCTTGACAGCAGCGACCTCCCAGCTTTGGTGGACCAAGAGCATGGGGGTGGTGGGTGAGCCCATCCCTGAGATTACAACAGTGGCTTCATATCCTTCCAGGATAGGGTGAAGGGTGAGCCAGTCAATTACTTAGTGAAACAACGGCTTAGAGCACCCTCTTCAATCCAGCCTGGGAGGTGAAGGAGCTGTTATTGGTCCCTTGGATGGATGAGGGATTTGAGGCTTAGAAAAGGACTTTTTCTTTTCTTTTCTTTTCTTTTTTTCTTTTGAGATGGAGTCTCGCTCTGTTGCCCAGGCTGGAGTGCAGTGGTGCGATCTCAGCTCATTGCAACCTCTGCCTCCCGGGTTCACGCCATTCTCCTGCCTCAGCCTCCCAAGTAGCTGGGACTACAGGCGCCCCCCACCACG